AAGAGACATATTACAGCCCATCTTTTGATACGATGACAGCATATTTTTGACAAGGGTTTTATAGTTGTCAGCTTTTCTATTTCCCAAGAAATTAGTGACCACCAGACGGAAATCATTCCAAGCAGTTATTTCGAATCTGTGGCCCAACAAAAATACCTTCTTTAACCTTTGCCTCACTTAGTCTTGGAAATTTCTGACGCAGGTATTGAAAAGTTGACCCATCTCTATCTAATGCCTTGACAAAGTTTTTCATTAGGCCCAACTTGATATGCAGTGGTGTTAATAAATTTTTTTTCGAATCTATTAATGGCATATGCTGTACATTTTTTTGACCTGGCTCTAGGAATTGACGAACATGCCAGTTTTGTCTGGTGTAATGAAGTGCCTTTGCCCGACTGTCTCATTCGCACAAAAAACAGCAAAACTTTGTGTAGCCTAGCTTGCAGCCCAAGTAAAAGTGCAACAACTTTCAATCGCCACAAATATGCCATTTGGTGCTCATCGTATTTTATGCATGTCAATAGGTACTTCATTTTCATATGATTCTTTCATGTGAACTGCATACCCTACAGGAAGAGGTGGTAAAATATTTCCAATATGCAATAACACTGCCATTAAACTCAATGTTGAACTGTCTATCACAATCTCCATTCTTCTGGGTTATAGTTTATATTTAAAGCCGCCAGTAAGCCGTAATGTTACTGCAGAAAACCAAGTTATTCTCCATATTGAAAATGGTTCTAAATCTTTGTCGCGTTTACGAAAAACACATATCGAAACATCGTCTTCTAACAAGTTCCACTGCTGCAGTCTTGATCCAAGTAACTCTGCCTTACATTTTGGAAGTTCTAAATCTCTACAAGATCATTTAATTCTGACTTGTGTTATTTTGTGCGGTTGGTGGCATGACGTGCTCGGTATAAAATCAGGATCTCTTGACGTTGATGGCATATCTTCTTCCTGACGAATCACTCGATCGCCATGATCTGATTCGTTTTCTGATTCGCAAGTGTAGGATTCTGGGGGTTTTGGAATAGGATTTTCGTCACTGTGAGCCACAGGTCTCATCGCAGATGGTATGTTTGGGTAGTTAATAACCGATTTTTTTTTCTTGGACATACCTGTGGCTTGTCCAACACAAGGTACCATGCAAAAGTAACAATCATTAATATGATTTGTTGGCTCTCTCCAAACCATTGGGACAGCAAAGCGCATAGACCGTTTTTTGCCATTAACCAGCTCCTCAGACTTGAAGCACATGTATTACAGCAGATGTGGGGTGCCCACTGTTTGTCTTGATCACCTAGTTTACAACCGAAATAAAGCTGATATGCCTTTGTTATTAGTGGAGTAATAGACTGTCTCTGAGACACAAAAGTCACATCACCACACGTAACAAAACTGATCTGGATTGTTTACACACTTTCGAGACATCTTGCATGAACGCTGGTCAGCCAACTGAGGAAAAAATGGCTAATATAAAACAATGTAATGTACACGTATGTATAACGTAACACCAATCATGCCGATTACATCATCTTTCCTTGCTGAATATAAAATGTAGCACGTGCATTCTTGTGAATTACAGTATATTAACACTGTCACAGCAGGAACACATATAATTACCGTATCTATAAAACTTGAACTAATATGGAAAAAATAAGTTTCATTCCGGTTTTAGCACATTAAAAATAGTAATATTTTGTTGATTTTACTTAGGATATTTTTTGGCTGTTGATCAGTGTTATTCCAAGACAATTGAGGAAAATACGGACCTGTACATCCCGCTTTTGGGCATGTTGTGTTTTGCCTGGGCGTAGGACAGAGGAACATTTAACTAATGCTGATATGGATAACGATTTTTTAATACATTTTTACGTTAGTGCTTATCATGTCGTCGCAATACAGTTCAAACATTTGTGTTCGAAATGTCGGTAACCATTACACATAAGATAGTGTTGAGAAAAATAATGCTAGGTTCACAATTTGGAATTTATTTCAGATTCGGTAATATGGTATGGGTTATTTTACTTTCTGGCATGTGATTTCAAACGAAATCTCGTACCTTTCATGCTATAGACTATGTTGGAAAGAAGAATCATCCTCCACCAAGAAAAAAAAAAAAACAATGCAAGCTCGCACACAGACCAAAAAACAAGGCAGTTATTTAACGGAAGAAAACGTGGAATTATTGGACTATCCTCCATATAGTCCCGATCTAAGTCCTAACGATTTCTTTACTTTCTTCCCGAAAATTAAAAAACAGACTGCGTGGTCAAAGGTTCTATACTCTAGGCGCTGAAGAAAGAAACTAAACCCAAACAAATACACGCATATTGCTCGTGAGTGAGTGTTTAGGCGCAGGAGACATTACAGTGACCGCATCAAGATATTATGGGTAGTCATCAAAAATTTCATACAAGATAATTATTATCTTTTACAGTAAATTTCAGTTAGAGATTCACAAATGAGTTAACTACACTTTTTAGTTATTAGTAAGTAAGCTGCGCGCACTCATTCAGAAGAGGAACTTGAATCTTCTGAATCGTTAAATGAATTATTAGAGGTCAATTTGGGTATCGATGACATTGTCCAAATCCCACATTTTGACCTCAACCTCTCCCGAACGTGGCGGATACAGTTTTTCCATCCTCTGCCGTAACTCTATTGACTGCGATGTGAAAGAGATTTTTAACATCAGAAAATTTATAAGTATTATAATTCGACGCCACGTATTTGCTTTATGTTGGCCCAAATCAGCTCAATAGGTTCAGCTCACAATGGTAGGGTGGCAGTCTCAAGACAGTTTTATTTTTGTTTTTGGCCATTTCGTCGATCATTTTAAAATCGTATTGTATTATGTCTATTGACTATACTATAAATTCACCCTTGACCATAGTTTCATCAAAATCGATCTGTTTTGAGGCCAGCCATTGTTGTATGTTTGCTTTTTTAGTTGCCATTGTGGGAATTTTTTCTATTTTTCTAGAATGGTACGGGGCATTATCCAGTACAATAACAGCGTTATTCTCCAGCTTTAGTAACCTTTTGGAGAACCAATTTTCAAAAGGAATTGCCGTCCATCTCCTCATGATAGTCCCCTGTCTTTTTTGATTCAAAGGCCCACAGTGCTTCGGGAACAAAGCCGTCTTCACTACTACGTGACAAATGATCAGCCGTTTGCCTTTTCCTGGAAATAAATTATTCCTTACACTATGGATTGATTAAATTGAAGGAATGAGGCAATTGAGTTCATTTAGCTGAATTTAAGAGTCACGGAATGCTGATCAAAAACTGAAAACGTAGAAATTGAAGTTTGCAACTTCTCAAAACCCATTCAAAGCAAATTGACTGCACCCAAAAATGATAATAAATTTCAAAATAACGCTTAAAGAGGGCCGAAGTTTTTTCCTAATGACTACACTGCGAATGCACCATTTTTGGAGAATATCACACATTATCTGCTATCACAGCATATTATTTGCCCGAATTTATCAAAATTAAATTGCCGGATAGATGAAGGAGCTTACCTGCAGGATTTTCAATCCAGCCGAAAGACCGTCTAGAAAAGCCTGCCTTGATGATGTTACTGATTTGTCGACCCAAAACTTTCGCTTGAGTATGTCCAGCATTCACCCACGTTTCGTCCAAATAGTAAATTTTTCTTTTTTCATCGCGAAACTTCCGAATCTTTCTAAGGTATTCCTTCTCCACACAACAATTTCTTCTTTCTCTATTAACATACTGTTTCTTCCCCGTTTCAAGAATCGAAAATTAAGTTCCTTCAAAAGTTTTCGGAATGTGGTTCTTTAAATGATGGAAGATCCTCATCAGCATTAACTAATCTTAATATCTTATCTACTGTAGGTATCTCATTTCTGAAGAAAAAATTATGCACTTTCCTCCTGATGGCAGTTCTGATCAAAGTCATCTACTCCGTCCGTTATCCTTTTTCTTGCAGGATACGGTTTTGGCTCAGAAAGTGAGTGAGTGCTCCTATATTCCTTAATGATCCTATAAACACTAGACCGAAATATGTGCTACCTTACATTATAACTTCGTCCACGACCAATCGGGTTTTTCTTGAATTTGGTTTTGTATATACATATTTAATATTATTTGTTTTTCATTTGCACTTAAATGTAGCTTCTTAGCCCTTTTTTTGGGTGGGGTTGCGCTGATGTCAACCACTTCGTCGGCTGTATCTGTGTCAGACATCGTATCTTAGGCAATATATAAACAAAACGTTCCACTCGCGAAAAACGAGTATACGCTACTGAATGCGTAATGCGTATGCAATGCAATCCTGTGCGTGAATTAACTGTTAGATGCCTGTCGTGTCATCTACAATCACGTTTACAAGTCCAACCTGTGCAATTCGTAGAGCGCCGACGACTGCTAGTGACCTTGAATTTGTCTGTAGATCGATGTTACTTCCAGTCAATTTAGATTCAAAGTGGATGTTTTCTATAAACCAATTTGTTGTTCCTACATCAAAAATATATCGATGATGTTTTGTACTGGGAGCTCATGAAAGATCAAGGTAACTTATTTTAACAGTCATCCTTTTTCTAGTCTCAAGATGACACGAAAAAGGGTCTGTGGATTCACTAGAAATACACTGCCGAGGATGTTAGACCTAAAGTGACTGGAGTATATCCGTGGATGCTTTCGAGGGATCTGTTCACGTGCTGATCACTGTTACGTTTAATGTCTTTCTTCAGCGCCCAGTGTTTAGTCACCAGAAGAAGCAGTTCACGCATTCAAAAATGCCGTGTGCATTAATCTTCGTGGAGAATACTTCGAAAAACAAGAAAGTCATTTAAAACTACCTACCGCGTTGTTTTATTTCCATATGCAAAACTCAAAAGACATCCCTCGTATGTGAATGCGTTTGAAAGAAAGAACTTTAATTTTTTGGACACCCTAATGTACATCACTTATTTATCCAGCAAGTTATGGTTATTTTAAGATTAATATTATGACTCTTTTTCTTTCAGGTTTATGATCCTCGCCACCATGCTAACAGTCCTAGTGATATACAGGGTAATAATAATCACGTGTCCAAAAGTCAGGCCGAGAATACTCCATGCCAAACACAGAAGCATTCCAATAGAAGTCTGCAGAGCTTTATGTCGGAAAGTAGAGATGGGTGACTGGTGGATCCTATTGATGCTCGGCACTAATATTGGACCCGATCATCTACAGGGAAATCATCTCGGAGTTAGCCAAGAAGATCGATACAAGTAATAATCACTAGCTGTGTAAATCAAGGATGTGCGGTACATTCAGCTAGAATTTACGATCCTCTTACCTCACGAAGTTAGGCGTCTGGGAAATCAGATGTTGTTTAAACACTTGCAATTCTCCAAAACTGGAATCATTTCTTGCCCCTTCAGAAGGTAAAATGCAAACAAGGGCGATTCAACACTCGTTCCATTGTAGGATGCACAGCTATTCGTTGTGACGGATTTTGCAAAAGTCAGTTTGAAGCCAATATATTAATTATTTTAACATGTCTATATTCATATATAAGACAAGCAATAATAATTTTTCAAAGTTCTTACGACTCTTGGCATATCCAAACTTTATGACGCCTATACAAGTTTAGGGAATTGAAAATAGGTACTTGAGTGAATATAGCTACAGTAGCAGGTTGTATAATTTTATATTTCGAAAGGATGACTAGCGGTGATATCCTATATAAGTTCAAATTTTGTGTTCAAAAATATCTACGTAGAATTTGAATGAACCTTTAATCCCGAAAATATTTCACAGCCTCATGTCGCAATACTACTTTTGCAGAGACAGGTATTATATGTAATACGAGAGATTTTCGGTATAGTGTACCGCACATTCCTGTAAGTGCAAGTAACAATCTCGAATGAACAAGATACTGCCATAACAGCTCAAATTATTATAAAAATGATATGTTCCCTTTGAAATGTCCACACCTACATCTTGGTGTAACAGGTAGAATTTTCCTATGGTTCACTGTTTGAACCATGGCGCTTTTTCTTAAACTGCATATTTTCGCGAAAAAAAAAAAAACGTTACAAAAAGAGGATTTTGAATTTTGGGAAAACAAACTCTAATCGATGGTTAGACGTCTGTCTCCATGGCATTCCTTACAGTACTCAAGTTTCATAAATAAAGTGAACCATTAAGAGTTGTGGCATCTAGGTGGCACGTCCCTTTTTTAGATCTTTGTTCTAAATCCTTTTCATCTGATAATGTCATGGTGAGTATGGAGATGACTAAAAACAATGTTTTCATTTTTTGTGCATCTTATTGTGCATTTTTCTTTCAATCGGACTTGTTAACAAATATAAGTACAGCTCTGAAATTGTGTGTGAATATTCCTCTTTTATGGAAGAATGAAACAAGTGATTACTTTTGTTCTTAGCCCTTTTCCTTTCGAAGAAACTTTGATTTCTCGCAGCAAGTTGGGTTTCAAGAGAAGCAAAGGTTTTCGAAAAGAGAAAGTGGTAAGAATGAAAGTAACCACTTGTTTCATCCATCCATAAAAGTGGAATGTTCACATACAATTTCAGAGCTGTACTAATGTTTGTTAACAAGTTACGATCGAAGAAAAAATCCACAAAGAGCTATGACTTCAAGCAATAGAATACATATCCAAATTTTCTGACGTGAAAAATATTTTTTTAGATTTTATTTTCAACTACCTATTGCAGCAGTATTCTAAATCCTTTTCATCTGATAATTTCATGGTGAGTATAGAGATGACTAAAAGCAATGTATTCATGTTTTTTGTCAAAAAATACATTTTTCGTGCATCTTATTGTGCATTTTTCCTTCAATCTGAACTTGTTTACAAATATAAGTACAGATCTGAAATTGTGTGTGAATATTCCTATTTATGGAAGAATGAAACAAGTGATTACTTTTGTTTTTAGCACTTTTCCTTTTAGAAAAAGCTTTGATTTTCTCGCAGCAAGTTTGGGTTTCAAGAGAAGCAAAGGTTTTTCGGAAAGAGAAAGTGATAAGAATGAAAGTAACCACTTGTGTCATCCATCCATAAAAGTGGAATGTCACATACAATTTCAGAGCTGTACTAATGTTTGTTAACAAGTTACGATCGAAGAAAAATCCACAATAAAATGCGCAAAAATACATTTATGACAAAAAAAAAAATGAAAACGATGTTTTTTAGTCATCTCTATACAAAAAGCGAAAAAAGAGACGTGCGGCATTAAAGGGTAAATTTCATTCTTCATAAAAAAACTATAGTGGATATCGAACTGGAAAGTATAAGTACAAAGTCTACATCTTAGTTTTTAATACCGCTATGAGTTTTTAACATTGTTGTATTGTTCTAAAAATATCCAAATTCTTTTAATCACTATTCATCGCGATTGTGCATGATTTTATGGGTATTATGAGATATTTGCTACCAGAGATACTCAAATAATATCTCGAAAAATTGTTTCTTTTTATTTCTTCGTGATTTTCGATTTCAGGGATGACATTATTAAACCAACCTCGCAAAGTATATTGAATAACTACAGTTTTGATTTTAGCGGTTCTGTAGAACTCACGTCTGATCATTTCTTTGCAACTCAGTATTAAAATTGTTGACATTATTAAAGTACATATTTTACGTTGTAATGATCGTATCGATAAAGTTAAAGACAATATGGCCGGAGTGTTTCTCAGGAAATATTTTGTCGATTTTTGATACCACCTATGTTAACAATAAATTGGATGTGGACAATGTAATATCAAAAGTATTTTCGAATGTTTTATAAACTCTTTATAATGTTTATTGACAAATGTTTGTGATATATAAACTGAAGGCAGTTCTTCCTGCCCAAATACAAAATACAATGCCTTTATACTGACGACTGCCTTAAGATCTTTTTATAAGCATTTTTGGTGTAAAGTGTTTTGTAGATGTTTTTACATTATTTGATAGTACCTATTTTAGATATAAGTTGGTTTTAAGAACGATTTGTCAGAATCTATTATTACGTATATTGTATATTATGTAATAAATTTTTCTACAGTGCTCGATTCTTTTTTACTATTACCATGGAATGTGAGGAGTTCCTTTCAAGATACATCCTATACCGTATTCGTAGTCCGTTTACCCCCCGGCACAACAAAGATGCAACGTGGCAAAACGGCAGCCGCCTAAGCTTTGTAATAGCTATTGGTCATAAAACTACAACAAGTGAAGGATTCGACAGGATAGAACTTATTCTCGGGGTATCGACGCAGTGTTACCAGGTCTACCGATTCTTCGGTAGATCTACCGATTTTGGCCCTGGTCTACCGAACTACCGATTTTAAAGCAAAATTTACCGAAAAGTGGATTTCCCTTCAATCGAATAATTTTTGTTCCCTATATAAGAGAAATATTTCTAATGCATAGCGATAAAAAGAATGACAAAGGTACTATTACACTGGACAACAAATTTTAGTTTTTTAATTGTATCTTGTGGGAAAAGTGCACTTCTTTGTTAATTTTTAGGGCGCTGAATTCAAAAATGACAATGAAATAAAAAATTAGTTGCGGTTTAGAAAAAACTTTTTATTTTTAAGGATATATAAAAAAAGTAACAAGATTCATATACTTATAAGAATCACTATATGCGCTGTCTTTTTGCTGTTCTTTTATGGATCGTTTCTGGAGCATCTCTACCAAGAGTCCAACAGTAGTCTGCAAGCATGGAAGGATTCCACTTTCCCTGGTACCTTTTTTCCATTGTTGAAATATTCTGATGGAAACGTTCGCTGTGCTCATCACTTACGGCTCCGCATTGTTAGGAAAAAAGTCCAGGTGCGAGTGTAGGAAATGTATCTTAACAACAGACATATTACAGCCCAACTTTTGATACGATGACAGCATATTTTTGACAAGGGTTTTATAGTTGTCAGCTTTTCTATTTCCCAAGAAATTAGTGACCACCAGACGGAAATCATTCCAAGCAGTTTTTTCAATACCTGTTAAAGTGTTTTCAAACTGTGTATCTTCAAAATATTTCGAATCTGTGGCCCAACAAAAATACCTTTTTAACCTTTGCCTCACTTAGTCTTGGAAATTTCTGACGCAGGTATTGAAAGCTGACCCATCTCTACCTAATGCCTTGACAAAGTTTTTCATTAGGCCCAACTTGATATGCAGTGGTGGTAATAAAATTTTTTTCGAATCTACTAATGGCATATGCTGTAAATTTTTTTGACCTGGCTCTAGGAATTGACGAACAGGCCAGTTTTGTCTGGTGTAATGAAGTGCCTTTGCCCGACTGTCCCATTTACACAAAAAACAGCAAAACTTTGTGTAGCCTAGCTGCAGCCCAAGTAAAAGTGCAAACAACTTTCAAATCGCCACAAATATGCCATTGGTGCTCATCGTATTTTATGCATGTCAATAGGTACTTCATATTGTCATATGATTCTTTCATGTGAACTGCATACCCTACAGGAAGAGATGGTAAAATATTTCCAATATGCAACAACACTGCCTTTAAACTCAATGTTGAACTATGTATAAACAATCACCATTCTTCTGGGTTATAGTTTATATTTAAAGCCGCCAGTAAGCCCTTAATGTTACTGCAGAAAACCAAGTTATTCTCCATATTGAAAAATGGTTCTAAGTCTTTGTGGCGTTTACAAAAAACACATACCGAAACATCGTCTTCTAACAGTTCCACTGCTGCAGTCTTGATCCAAGTAACTCTGCCTTACATTTTGGAAGTTCTTAATCTCTTACAAGATCATTTAATTCTGACTGTGTTATTTTGTGCGGTTGGTGGCATGACGTGCTCGGTATAAAATCAGGATCTCTTGACGTTGATGGCATATCTTCTTCCTGACGAATCACTCGATCGCCATGATCTGATTCGTTTTCTGATTCGCAAGTGTAGGATTCTGGGGGTTTTGGAATAGGATTTTCGTCACTGTGAGGCACAGGTCTCATCGCAGATGGTATGCTTGGGTAGTTAATAACCGATTTTTTTTTCTTGGACATACCTGTGGCCGTGTCCAACACAAGGTACCAAGCAAAAGTAACAATCATTAATATGATTTGTAGGCTCTCTCCAAACCATTGGGACAGCAAAGCGCATAGACCGTTTTTTGCCATTTAACCAGCTCCTCAGACTTGAAGCACATGTATTACAGCAGATGTGGGGTGCCCACTGTTTGTCTTGATCACCTAGTTTACAGCCGAAATAAAGCTGATATGCCTTTGTTTAGTGGAGTAATAGACCGTCTCTGAGACGCAAAAGTCACATCACCACACACGTAACAAAACTGATCTGGATTGTTTACACACTTTCAAGACCTCTTGCATGAACGCTGTCAGCCAACTGAGGAAAAAATGGCTAATATAAAACAATATAATGTACACGTATGTATATCGTAACACAATCATGCCGATTACATCATCTTTCCTTGCCGAATATAAAAATGTAGCACGTGCATTCTTGTGAATTACAGTATATTAACACTGTCACAGCAGGAACACAGATAATTACCGTATCTCTAAAACTTGAACTAATATTGAAAAAATAAGTTTCATTCCGGTTTTAGCACATTGAAAATAGTAATATTTGTTGATTTTATTTATATTATATTTTTTGGCTGTTGATCGGTGTTATTATTCGTACTAGACCAGATATATTTTTATTCTCTTTGCCTGACATTGGTGAGCCACACACGCTGCTTCTTCGTATCTGGGGAATCACCGAAGATACTCGATGATTTGGCTACATCGCCTGGGCCTAGCGGCTCGTGACGAGTCCATGTCTGTATTGTACGATTTGTATGGTTTCGTGTACTTACTAATTCCAAATTCGGCCAGTATTAGTATTGCCTGGCTTGCAGTCATTTTTTTTTTCGCGTGCGTGTGCCCAACATTGTAAGGAAGACTGGGAAGGATTGCCAGATTTCCAAGGCTGGCTTAAAAAAGAAATAAAGGGCGCGATTATGCGAAATGTATGGTGTGTGATAAAGATATTAATACCAAAAGTGGAAGAGATGCACTTATAAAACACGCAAAAGGGGCAAATTTATAAAAAGTGCAAACCATAGCAGAACAGCCAAAACTGTTGTCATTTGTGAAGATTTGAGATTATATAGATTATTTTATATTTCTAGAGAAATTCGTTTGAGTGGTGTGAGAAAACAGGGCTTTTAGTTAATTCATTCAAAACTGAGCTAGTCTTCCGCACCGAAAGGCGATAGATTTCAACCCTCCACGGCCTACCATTGACTCTCTCTCAAGAGGTGTGGTACTGGATAGTAAGTTTTCATGGAAATAGCGAATCGACTACATTCAGTTGTCCCAGCCTACGAGGGCAAATAAACTTTCGTTCGAATTACGCTCTTATTTTTTCCATTTGACTTTAACAGCTCAAAAAATAAACATTCTAGCGAACGGGAACGATAGCCCTTATCGACTACCGGTCAAACTTTGAATTTGAAAGTTTATAGGGAAATCATGTATGGATTTTCAAACCTAATCTTATTCGACAAATACAACACTGCTTTATTTGTATCTTATATTTCTTAGTTATTATCATTAAAGGAACATTATTCACTGAGTCTTCTTTTCACAGTTAGGATATACCTGCCTGTGTTCTTGTACACTAATGAAAATTGTATATGTTCCTCATCAGCAGTGATTAAGCCAGGAAAGTCTGGCATTAACTTGACTGGTCTTTCTGCCGTATCCTGAACTGCTCTCAGTGTTTGCTGCTCATTCTTGCCTACTGACAAGACTTATTATGTGGCCATGAAGATGGACACTCGTCGAGAAAACTGTCATCTATTTCATTCTTTTGGGACGCCCTAGTGTTGGTACACTCGGGTCAAAGGTAGCCTGCTAGCCAGGCTTCGCTTAGCCACTACCAGTACTACTACTGTCCATTCTGACAATTCATCATAACAAAAATCCGTATCAAGTAATGGAACACTGGATTTATAAATTCACTCTTGCATTCACGGGTCGAATTTGAGTTAAACATTAGTTGAAATGAAATGTCAAATTATACAATTTCAAATACAAATATATCTTATACAGGGTGTCCCGAAAGAATGCAATATTCTACCAGCGGTTGCTAGTCTATTTCCTATTTTAGAAAAACCGCTGGTAGAATATTGCACACTTTTTTCGGGACACCCTGTATATAGGTGTTTCAGTTTATTGTTGCATAACTTAAGATTCGATAGAAATTTTAAAATTAATGCATAAAGTCTATATAAACATGGGTCGAAAATGCGTGGCTTCCGAAATACAGGGTGTTTAAATTTACTTTCTAAAATCGTTTTTTTTTAAATATTTCGAACAATATTTTATATTAAGAGTGAAAATGGTATACAAGGTTTTTTGGTACGACAAAATGAACCATGGGCTTAGTTTTACTGTAGCCACTAGAGGGCACTCTCTATTGACCTGTAGTGTATTAAAATGACCGAAAAAATTTTCTTAGTGCAATTTTTGCTTTTTGAATAAAAAACTGATTCTTTGCACTTTTCTGCATAAAAAGCTCTCCTGTGAGTTTTCGTTATAGTTAGCCGTTTTTGAGATATTTCGATTTTTAAGGTTCGATGCATTTTTAATTATTTATGGGAAAATAATATTTTTTTTACATTTTCGATTTGGGCATTACAAGTAATTAGAGATCGTTTAGATTGTGTTTTTAAACACAGCAATAATTCCTAACTCCAAATAACACAAAAAACAGAATATTAATTTGTTTAATTTTCCAATATTATTTTTAACAAATTAAATTAATTATTTACAACTAAAATGCTATTGGATAGTTAGGACAAACATACAAAATCTAAAGTAGTTGCTCGAAATGTAAACCCAATTGTTCAATACACAATTCACATCTACGCATGATCGAACGTGGTATAGCATTATTCAAATAAGGCCTTATTTCATCACATGCATTCCTGATTCTGTCTATTAGCATATCTCTTGTGGTTACGGGAGTCTGGTACACTTTTTGTTTTAGAAATCCCACAAAAAAAATCTAATGATTTAGGTCAGGGGTCGTGGAGGCCAGGCGACTGGTCCTCCACGGCCGATCCATCTTTCTGGATAATTTTCGTCCAGCCAGTTTCTAACTATTCGAATAATGAGCTGGACAACCTCAGGCTGGAACCAGGCCAATCTTCTTAACTAACATAACATCATCCCACATATTTGCATGTTCAGCCTTTAAAAATTCCAAGAAGGTCGCAGCATTTAACCTTGCAGGTAAAGGTAGGGTTCAAATAGTCTATTACGGTAGATACCTATCCACACATTCACACTAATTCATGCTGAAAATTTCTTTCCCGAACTGCATGCGGATTTTCATGCGACCAAATATGTTGATTATGAAAATTTACCACTCCACGTCTAGTGAAGCATGACTCATCGGTCCATAAAACGGTACTTAAAAACCCCCTATTGTTATCAGTGCTATCATCAAGAATCCACTGACAAAATGTGATTCTTCGTTCTCCGTCCCCTGGCTGTAGTCCTTGCACAGGTTGCAATGGTAAGGACGTCTATGGTCATTTCTAAGAACATGGTGAACATGGCTTGCTGAAATTCCCAAGGCACCAGAAACTCTCCTAACACTTGTGGTCGGATCTCTATCAACTCACGCAGAATCATACGGGTACATTTGCGCTGACGAACAGTTTATGTTTTGATCCCTTTGGAGATTTCCAAAACCATTTTCCATTATTTGGCGATGCACTCTTACAAATACTGAGCGAGTTGGATGTCGTCTGCTTGGAAATCTTCGTGCGTATTCTATGGCTGCTTCTGCTGCGTTTCCATTTACAAGCCATACACAAAATGAATATCCGCTAACTCTTGATTGGAGAATAAAATGGCATTTTGATAAAACTTACAAAAAAAAACAGGTAAAAGAAACTAAATTTCGTGCATTCACAATGCAAAAAAACGTTTCAGGTTTCAACAGACAACAAAACTAACTGTCAACTAATTGACGTTTAACCTTATTCTGCTTTCAATTTCAAAAATATTGGCAGGCACAGCCTACTTCTAAAATTATCGAGATACTGACTTTTTAACGTTATTTTCATAAATAATTAAATATACATCGAACCTTAAAAATCGAAATATCTCAAAAACGGCTAACTATATCGAAAATTCACTAGAGAGCTTTTTTGTTGAAAAGTGCGGATAATCAGTTTTTTTTTCAAAAAGCAAAAAATTGCACTAAGAAAAATTTTTCGGTCATGTTAATACACTACAGGTACAGTAGAGAGCGCCCTCTAGCGGCTTTATTTTAAAAATATATTACGTATCGGTAATACCTTTTTAAGGAGGAGGGCAAAATTATTATTCACTGATTGAATACCATTACTATTTTTTTTTTTTAGTTTTTTTTTAAAGCACTTATCTCGAAGCACAGTTTGCTATGCTGACTTGTGTTTTTTAAAAGTAAATGATCCTGGTGAGTAATCTGCCGAAGAAAGGAATATATGTGTGAATAAAATCAAAACGCAGTTTCGTTCAGATAGTATTAGGTTTTATTTCGTTTCATGAAAAACTACATGGTATAAATTGGTATAAAAATTATAATCATAGCACCTTACATCATGTAAAACACATTTATACAAAAAGTATATAAATACATGAGAAGATTAAGTTCTAAAAGTCCCCGACCCAACACCAAAGAGCAGCAGTTGGAGCAAAATTAAAAAAAAATATTGAGGCAATGTCGGAAAAAAATTCCTGTAAGGATTGTAAAGAATATCATCTATCCACCGAGACCTAGGAAGATTTAAATCATTTCAGTGGTTATTGAGCCTAGTAATAGTAGATAATGAAAAGTTGAAGAGGAAATTCTTTCTTAGCTCAATGACAAGAAGTACTTATGAGTATTTGAAGAATCCTAGTAACTCTCAGAGGATCGATTGCTATAAACTGTGAAAAAGATTAGATTACCTATCGACTGTAACTTTATAGTAGGCGAAAGAAGAAAATTCATAAATTATACCCAATTCTGCAGTTTTCCACAAATAACGTGGCAAGTGGAAAATCGGGTATGAGACCCTCTTCTTAACTAAAATTAAGTTAAAAAACCATCAAGTCCCCAACTCACATTTTGTTATCACAGTATTCTAATTACTAAGAGTAAATTAGTTTTCACTTCCACTCACACGTTTGACAAAAAAATCATTCGTAAAGGGCAGTAGACATAATGTCGTCTAATTTTTAAAATATAACTAATGGACGGTATTTATACTAGTTATCGAGGGTAGGTACAATTGTCTAAAATATAATGCATAAACGGTTTCATGTGCTGTTGAACTTAAAGTCAATGTAACATTTGAAACTTGTCCTGTGGTTTCCACATTTGCCTTGCCAGATAAAACCTCATATAGTTTATTCACTGAAACAAAACAGTTACGTGATATTTAGTAAATTTGAATGCCAACCTAACGCAAAATAGATCCTAAATTTGTACGTATAGTTTGAATTTCCCGGGTATATTTGTGTTGGTAACAGTTTTCCGTGTTGTGACATTGTCGCAAAGCTTGTCAGATAAACAGGCCAACGGCTGTTGCTTATTTTTGTTCTTTTTGCCTCAATATTTACATTGTTCTTTTATAAAAACAGTTATTTCAAAACTTGAGTTGTCCTTTTAAGCATTTTACTAAAATGCCGAAACCTCTGGGTCGACAAGCAAAATAATTCGTCATTTCTTTGATGAACTATTTTGAGACCGAACGAGATCATGATGTCCATTAGAATTTATACCAGCTCTAGCGTTCACAAAACATACTCTTCGTAATGTTGGTTGCGGTAAGGCATCGAAGATATAAAAGTAGATTTTGTAAAAGGTCGTAGGATCTAGTAGTTTTCATTAGTGTGGCAACCATGTGCGTCACTGTCATTATTTGACGTTGCGACATAACTACTTTGATTCAGTGGATAAACATAAGTGTTTGGCTGTTATTGGAACACACTTGATAGTAGCGTCAAAGACAAATAACGGTGCTGTTGCGTCTTGTAGGAACTTCCGACTTAATTGTTTTTTTCTCTTAAAACTTTCAGAGGGTAGTCGTGATTATTTAGAAACAAAAAAGTGCGGATGAAGCACGCTTTTCGTGAATTTTTTTTTCCAAAACACTATATTTTTAGCTGTTCTTTCCACCATTATTTCCACCGCCATCTATCTGCCATATGACGTAGGCGTCTGTGCATATGTCATATATGAGAGGCGCTTGTCTGCGGTGTTGCCGGATTGGGTCCGCATTTAAGAAAAAGTGGAAATTTCTATACATATACGTATGAATGAATACAAAAACGAAAAACTAAAACAAACAACAGTAGCAAAATAAAAGGCGATTCTTAATAAGTATAAATCAAAAAATAACAGTAGTAAGCTAAAAAATGATAGATTATAAATAATTATAAAAAAAAAATAAAAACAGTAGTAAAACAAAAAAAAAATAAGCCATGTAATGAGAAACAGAAAATAACAAAATGGTAAAATAAAAAGCAATTATAAGTGATAAATAATATCAGTAGAAGAAAAATCCCATGTAATTATAAAAAACAAAAAATAACAAAGAGTTGAATAAAAAGCAGTTCTAAGTGACAGCACAAAATGAAAGAAAAGTAAAAACAGTAGAAAAACGAAAAACAATTTCATTCCATCCAATTGCTTTTTATTTTACTGTCTGTCATTTTTTTGTTTTTATAATTACATGGAATTCTTTTTTTGTTTTAATACTGTTTTAATTTTTTTGTTTTTATAATCTCTTAGAATGCATTTTTATTTAACTGCGTGTTGTTATTTTTTGTTTTAAACTTAGTAAGAATTACTTTATAATTTACTACTGTTTTGTTTTTGTGTTTCATTAATTAGTATATAATTTTCCACTTTTATGATTTTCCCCTAAATATGTAGCCCAATCCGCAACACCGCAGGCAAGCGCCGATATATGACATACCACAGACGTCAACGTCATAGGTAGATGGCGGTGGAAATAACTGCTAAAAAATACAGTGTTTAGGGGAAAAAAATCATGAAAAGCGTGCTTCATTCACACTTTTTATGATTTAAAATAATCTATCAAACTACCCTCTATATGTTTCAAGTGAAAAAACAGTGAAATCCGAAAATCTACAAGACGCGCAGTACCCAAATAACGATTAACGTTAGTGAACAGTGAATCGAACATAAATGGTTTCTGTGGTCAGCAAAATATGGCAGACTCATAATCAAGTGTCAAATTGTACAAGAGCATCACTGATCTAGATGCTGCTGCTGTGTATGGAGCCGTCCATACGTTACACAATGACATTCCTCCTTAGCAGTGGCGTACATTAAGTTATACCACTCTCTTCGAGAAAACTAAAACATGCAGATCGAAACAATTCTAGTATTCTGAAGAATAAATCATAAGTAGTAAAAGCGGTATTTTTAAAAGGAAACATACGAAGGGTTTGAAGGTACCTACCCGTCTCGTGTTACTCTCCATACATCTGAAAGGACAGCTTTTGTTTCTGTTTTACAGAAAATGAGAAATCGTACAGCTAGACATTTTGTGTACAAATTGCCTATAAGTTTTTACTATGAATAGAAAGGAAATTTTGAGGGCTGAATTACGCTCTTCATCTTAACGGTTATAAAATATTTAGACATTAAGACGTGTCATTTAGAATATTTGAGCAACTTCAAAGCAAGAATTTCCTTTCTAGTGAAACATTTTTTTAGCTAGCTTCACTGTCGTTATCTATAAACCAATCTCCTGAAGGTGGAACGTTCCTGGTTCCGACGTAACTTGATGTAGCTTCACTTCTATATTCTCTGGTTACCATCTGAGCAGTCGAACCTACAGACAGAAAGATGGTTTGAAGATTAGTCGATCGACCAGAATCTATTGTATTTTTCTTTGTTCATAGTCGTTATTGCGTCAAAATCTTGCTCTTAGTGAGTTATCAAACAGTAAATCTACTTTATCATTATAAAATGATGCTACATACGATGATCTCAACAACAGTATTAAAAAGAAGGAAGCAAAATTTCTTTTTCAATTGAGATAAAAATAGAAATGAAGCAATAGTACCTGGTACAGGTCTTCCTGTCGTTTGTCTGCTCACTTGCCAGGCGTGGAAGATGATCTTTGAGCACCAGTGGCAAAAATCGGGAACTGCGTTGTGACTTGGACTGCCTTCTGGAGTGGTTATTTCACTAGCAGTATCGTAACCTGTAAAGACAAATTACATAACACTATCAAGTGCAGGCTAACCGAAACATTCAAAATATAAGTTGTTGACTTAGTCATCAGTGGTGAAGATGTTCTATCGTGACATAGCAGTACCTTTTGGTGTCAAAATTGTATTTGTATCCGAGCAGTAATTTTTTGGACTAAAGGAATTTCGCAGGTTATTCGGTGAAGTT